CCTGTACGAGGATATGCACTGAGGTGGTTCTTGGTCTCCGGCTGGTCTGTACAGCGCACACGTACTGGCCCTCATCGGTCATCTCCACGTTCTCGATCTTTATGGTGAACTCCTCCTGGTTGAGAGTGACCAGGCTGACTCTGGGGTCCACTGACCACTTGTCCTCGCCCGCGTACAGGATACTGGAGCGGTTGAGCCACGCCGTGTGGGTCACCACGTCTCCCTGCTCACACCTGCAGAAACAGGACACAACCGTGAACATAGGAAACCAGACAAAGGGTATTTTTAAACCACGGGACATGTGTGTGAATTTGCAGGCTTAAAGGAACTGTATTAAGCCTGGACTCTTACAGTTAAAACATTTGGATTGCCAGAGGACACAGACAAGTTTTCCTCATTCTTCGTATATAAACACATGTGTATACTTCAACGACAAAAGGACTGCAGACTACAGACTAATGCTTGGCTGCAGGTTCTGGAGTTTAGGGAATGTGGACCTCAGATCAGAGAGAGCGCTTTCAGGATCAAAACAACTGGATTTCGGCACTAAAAATGGCAACCCAAATGACAGACTCATGTGAGGCTCATTCTGTATTCTGATTCGATAATTGTCTTGAGAACTAAAACTCCAAATTATGACAAACATCTCAGCCATGTCCAAAGTTTTTTTGCAATTAAGAAGGAAGCAGGAAGTACAGGATGTAGCGCAGAGTTCTAAAACATTTATCAACACCAACGTTTCCAAACAAAAAGCAAAGACAATTTACAAGCAAGGAAGACATTTTTATAGCAGTTAAAAATGTTACATAACAAAAAAGAGTGCATTAGTCCAGTCATAACTATTGTGTAATTTAGACCCGTTAACATTTCAGATGCTGGGTAACACTAATGGAATTGTTGTTTAACAGTGTCCAAACAGAAAGTGAAAAAAATAGGGGGGACATTTAGTAAAAGCTTAAATATATGTGCGCTTTTTCACTGAAAAGAGTCTAACCTGTCACTTCTGTAAAGTCAAGAGGTGTCAAGTGCTGAAAAACTTACTGTAACATTCTCCTATATGTTAAAGCATATTGTATGTGTAGTTATTGACAGTTTCAAAGTGTGTTAATATCTTTGGTGAACTTTCAGACTTTAATGAAAAAGTTGATGCTAGAACAAGTTTTCAGACTGATAGAGAACTGGATATTCATTAGAAACTTTTCAGCTGTAATTACTGAAGCGTCTGTAATCTGCTGTCAATAATAACTACACGGACGTCTATATACGCAAACAAATCAAAGTAATGGCATTATTTATCTGTATCTGTGAAGTAAGTAAGTTTTATAAACATCGAAGAATTCTGTTCATGTAGATATAATTCCACACAAACAAATAAACGACGATGACTATGTCTTTCACATACAAAAAGTAATCTAATTCTTCAGGAAAAGTTTAATGACAAACCATGATGAAAAATATGTATGTTGTTTAAATTCATCATCATCATCATTAACTACTGCACAAAGCCAGTTACTAACTATGTTTAACTATATTACCATAAAGAGATGGTTGTGTCTTGTATTACCATGTTTTTACTGTAACAGTAACCAAAATATCGTGATATTGTATCGTCAAAAGTCTATCAATAATATCGTGCACCATCACATTATATTGAATCACAAGTGTCTTTGCTTAAATTTATTGTTACGGTGCAGCAATAGTAGTGCTTTGTAGAATGTAATAGAATAGATAATAACATGAATTTACATATTATATACATATTTTTCTAATTTTTTGCGATAAAAAACTTTACCTAAAGAACTAGATTACCTCTAGTATGTGAAAGTAGTCATAGTTTTTCATTTATTTGTGGGGAATTATATCTAAATGAATAGAATTCTTTAATGTATATAAAAAAAGAGGGAACTACATAGCCCATGATCCTTTGCTTCATTTCAGGGCAGACTACATAAAGAAATAACAGTTCTAAGCATTTTTAAGTCTTAGTTCTTTGGATTAAGTCTTCTCAAGTCGTTTAAAAGGAAAAAGTAGCATATTCACAATTTTGTTAACCTCCAAAAACAAAATATCGCAATAAATATTGTACCGTGAAATGTATATTGTGAAAATACTGTACTGAGAGATTTTGGATATCGTAACATCCTAGTTAGAAAATTGAATGAGAATTAGAGAAAAGTTTTGCTGCTAAAATATGATATACAGTAGGTTAATTTGTTCTAATGTTCAATGGTCACGTGCACCACCAAGTCGATAAAGTCTAGTGAAGGTGTATGCAATTTAAAGTGCTTCCTGTATTACCACATGACATGATAAAGTGGAACAGAGTGTTTTCTGTTTGAGAGAAGAACTAAATATGCAGGGTTTGTGTGTTAAACATGTGTGAATGAAGCAAAACACAACTCCCGGTTTGTCTGTGATGAGAAAACAACATTATAACACGGATCAGAGAAGAGCGTAATATACTGTAGGTCCTTTAATAATAATAATAATAATATTCACACTACTCGATCAAATTCATTTCACCCATTGACAAGAAAATTATATTATGGTTGAAAAATAATACTCCAACTTTCTCGCAGGTGTTTATTTTCCAAGTCAATGTGGCCGTACATCATCTGTAAAAACAAACGCGCTGTCTGCATCCAAGCTATTAGCAATCACCGAGGTCTGATTTATCGAATATTTTCCCACACGCTGCAAAACTAGACTTATTGTACATATGCAAATGGGGCTCCACTACGCTTTTGTTCATCTACCCACACAGTTGCTTTTGTGACATTCAAAGCTTGATTGAGACAATGAGCTCAGAGCCAACCGCTGTGCACTGTCGCAATTACAACACAAATCACAAAAATGCTGCTTTGATATCCATGCCAGGGAGGGTGAACTTTGACCTTCTCCGTGGCGACGCATCTGCTGTATGCGCAAAAATTTGAAAAGTTATCAAACTAACAGTATTCATGGGTTTCTACTCCAATTTTTTAAAGGGCCCAATATTACGCGATTTTCAGATCCTTTTCCTCATCAAAAATATACCTGGAATTGTGTTTTGTTTCTTTCATACATGTTTAAGACACAAACCCTGCATCTTTAGGCTGAGTTCTTCTCCTCTCAAACAGAAAACACTCTGCGCCACCTTGTGATGTCATGTGGTAGTACAAAATGTGGCCCTCTGTGTTTTTAAACTTCATACGCCTTCACAAGAATAATTTAAAGCAGGGGTTTTCAAATTGGGTGAGGTGAGTGTGAGCTTGGGTTTAGTCCTGGTTTTATTCCTGGTTTAGACCTGGTTTACACCTGGCTTTAGTCCTGATTATAGTGGTTTGGTCCTGGTTTAGTCCTGGTTTTAGTTCTGGTTTTAGTTCTGGTTTTGTCCTGGTTTAGATCTGGTTTAGACCTGGTATTAGTCCAGATTTTTGTCCCGGTTTAGTCCGGGTTCAGTCCTGGTTTAGACCTGATTTAGACCTGGTTTAGTCCTGGTTTAGTCCTGGTTTAGACATGGTTTTAGTTCTGGTTTTGTCCTGGTTTAGTCCTGGTTTAGACCTGATTTAGCCCTGGTTTAGCCCTAGTTTAGCCCTGGTTTAGTCCGGGTTTAGACATGGTTTTAGTTCTGGTTTTGTCCTGGTTTAGTGCTGGTTTAGACCTGGTTTAAACCTGGTCTAGCCCTGGTTTTTAGTCCTGGTTTTAGTTCTGTTTTAGTCCTGGATTTAATTCTGGTTTAGTCCTGGTTTAGATGCGTGGTCCATACACGCACGCACAATTACCGATCTCAGTACTGCTGCAGATGTGTACAAATGGGAACCACTATGTTTTCTTCATGTGTGTTTCGCCTCCCCAGTGACTCTTTAGTGCCTGCAGAGGAGGCGGGCCTCACCTACTGAAAACCTCTCATTTAAAGGATTTCCGCCTTGGAATGTCCACCAAAGGTAAAATATAGTTGTTAACATGAAAACTACCACTACTTGACATCACAAAGTGGAACATAGCATTTTGAGCTTTGAAGATATAGACAAATAAGAACAAATTAAGCCTGGGTTATGTTTTAGAGGAGACTGCAGTATTATAACATGGCTTAAAGCTCATAAGAGTCAATTGTGTGCAATATAGGACCTTTAAGGACTGTGTTTTGAATTGTTAATTACTTTGGTAACACCGCCTTGACGATATTTAAGTGAGATACCTTTCACCAAATCAAGAAATCCTGCTTTGGTATTAGTGCCAGCGTAGGTGAACTTTGACCTTCTCCATGGCGACACACCTGCTGTACAAAAAAAACATGTTTGGATCAGATTGTGAAGAAAAGGGAGCAGTGCCAGAAGAAATCACAAAGAGATTTCCAAATGAAATGTGATTTGGCAAAGAGGAGCGGGTGTCTGCCAAATGCCTGTTTACCGTGTGGGTTACTTTAAGTCTCTCTGGTCTCGTTCTGGTGTTGGTTTATAAACAGTGCAGCCGCATTAACTGTTCACACTTTGGGACGAGCGGGAATGGACCAGAAAAGAGCAAGTCTACACTGGATTATTGTCATTAATATTGCACAAAGGAGATGTTTCCTTTTTATTGATACTTTCCAGCTGATGGCATCAACATTCCTCTGGGGGTGTGAGGCTAACTGCAAGCACTGCTCTGTCTGAAGCTCTGTTATTCAAGTCAGACTTTAATCTTTGATCTAAGTTTAATTTTAACACAAGCTGACCAGAAAACTTGGATGTGATTTGGAGATGATTTGTGCTGTGAAACCACTTAGTCACTCTCACTTTTTTGTTGAAAATCAAACTCCTAAACAAGACCAGACACACTTATATTGACCACAGGCTCCTGAAAGTGTGTTGTCTAAATCAATTAATATTTTTTCTTGAGTTTTCAGATTATCTCAATCTTTTTTTGTCTGTGTTTGCTAATGTGTGCATTGTGTCACCATGGAAACTGACATCTGCTAACAGAAATGCATTATAGATAACACCACCAGCACTTGCAAAGACACCTGAATGTGCAACAAAAAGTTATCAAAGAAGCACTATTTTAAGGGTTTCAAATCTGTTTAAATTGACATTTTGAGGACATTTCACCATTCAGTTAAACCATTAAATGTTTACTTTAAAGGTGCACTGTGTATTTGTATATATATATATTTTTTAAAGGTATTTATAGCAACATAAATACATGCAGAATAGATATGTTTAATGGCATATACAGACCTTCTACCAGTCTGTGGTAGAGACATTTGTCACAG